TTCCTGCAAAAGCTGAGTCCTTTCCTTTTGGGCCTTGGCTCTGGCATAAGAGTAAATTGGTCTCCTCGATTCTTCAAAATGGAATACTCTGACAGAGGCTCCTGGCCTCTGTGTTGGTAGGCAGGCTTCTCTGCCAGTTCTCAGCACTGCCTGTCTGGCTGAGTAGGACACTGCTGTTTTCTATTGGGATGTCCTGCGTTTGAGGAGGAAGGGTAATTTGGATATTACTTTTCATGCTAAGATAGAAGATAGAGGTTTGACTAGATGTTAATTAATTTCTTATTATAAAATAGAGTATCACTAGTGGTTCAATAATTAGGGATTTCTAATACTGCTGAGAAGGTTCTTTAAGTTTTTGTAGGTACCAAACCTGCCTTGGTACTGCACACACAGTGGTGTATGTTTAGGGCAGTATAAACTGAACAGTTGACTAATATTGCTATAGGCTATATTAAAAAAAAAAGCTAGCTAAAACATGACACAGCTGGTGTGTTTCATACAAAATATTTATATATGGTGTGAGGTAATGATCCAGGTTAATTCTACAGGTGGATAACTAGTGTCCCAGCAACAAGTTTTGAGGAGACGGTTCTTCCCCCCTTGAATTGTCTTGGCACCCTTGTTGAAAATCAGTTGACCATATTCATTTAGGTTAATTTCTGGACTTTCAGTTGTATTCCATTGATCTGTATGTCTATCCTTATGCCAGTACCACACTGTTTTGATTATTGTAGCATTGTAGTAAGATTTGAAATTGGGAAGTATGTGTCTTCCAACTTTATTTTTTCCCTAGATTGTTTTGGCTATTCTGAGTCCCTTGCAATTCTATATGAATTTTAGGATCAGTTTTTCCATTTCTGCAAGACAGGCCACTGGAGTGTGCATGTGTGTGTGTGTGCGTGTGTGTGTGTGCGTGTGTGCACCCATGCATGCATATCATTTGATTCCCTTCTCATTCCCTTTTGTGTATATTTTTTATATTTTTAAAAAGTGATTATAATGGGATTGCAATTACCTTAAATTTATAACAGCTGAGTTCGAATTTATATTCACCAGCATATAAAACCTGTTCCTTCCCTTTATGTTGACACACATTACAGCTTTATACATTGTGTGCCCATTAACATAGATTTATTGTTGACCCTTGAACAACGAGGGGGTTAAGGGTGCTGACCCACACCCCACATAACCACGCACCTCCAACCCTGCACACAGTTGAAAATCTGTGTATAACCTTATAGTCAGCCTCCTTTATCCATGGTTCTGCATCCAACTGTGGATTGTGTAGTGCTGTAGTATTTATTGAAAAAAATCTACATTTAAGTGGACCTGTGCAATTCAAACCTGTGTTGCTCAAGGGTCAACTATACAATTTTTTAATGTGTTTGTCTTTTAAGTCATATAAGAAATAAAAAAGGAGCTATACACAAAAATACAATAATACTGGCTTTTATTTTACCTATGTAGTTACCAGAAATCTTTATTTCCTCATATGACTTCTAGTTACTCTTTAATGTCCTTTTATTTCAGCCTGAAGGACTCCCTTCAGCATTTCTTATAGGGCAGGTGTACTGGCAGCAAACTCCCTAAACTTGTTTATCTGGGAATGTCTTAATTTCGCCTTCATTTTTAGAGGACAGTTTTGCTAGGTATAGAATTCTTGGTTGATGGTACTGTTCTTTAGCACTTTATATGTGCCATCCCACTGCTTTCTGGCCTCCATGGTTTCTGATGAGACATGGAATTGTTATTCTTATTGAAGATCCCTTGAATGTGATGACTTGTTCTCTCTTGCTGCTTTCAAAATTCTCTATCTTTGGTTTTTGATAGTTTGATTATAATGTGTCTTGGTGTGGATCTCTGAGTTTATCTTACTTGGACTTTGTTGAACTTCTTAGATGTATAGATCATGTTTCTCATAGATTTGAGACATTTTTTACCATGATATCTTCAAGTATTCTTTCTGCTTCCTTTTCTCCCTAATCCTCTGGGGCTCTCATTATATGTATGTTGGTCCACTTGATGGTATCCCACAAGTCCCTTAGACTACATTCATTAATGTTTTCATTCTTTTTTCTTCCTGCTCCTCAGATTGGATAATTTCATTTGACCTCCCTTCAGGTTTACTGATTATTCTGTCTGCTCAAATCTGTTGTTGAAACCCTCTTGTGATTTTTTTTTTTTTTGGTTATTGGACTTTCAGCTCCAAAATTCTATTTGGCTCCTTTTAATAATTTCTGTCACTTTATTGGTCTTCTCTATTTATTGGGATATCATTCTCTCAGTTTCCTTTGGTTCTTTGTCTGTGGTTTCCTTTAGCCCTTTCAGCGTGTTTAAGACAGTTGATTTAAGGTCTTGTCCAGTAAGGCCAACGTCTGTTTTCGCAGGGACACTTTCTTTTAAATATCTTTTGTACCAGTTCATGTAGCATTCTTTATTGGTTTTTATTTGGTTTGTAATTTTTTGTTGAAAACTGAATAATATGCAAAAAAAGAAGAAAATAGAAAGGAAACAAACGACAGATGCTGTCTAGGTCCTGGCAGACTGGCTGTGTGTTGGGGCAGGTCCTCAGCCTGGCCGCTGACAGCTCTGCCTTAGCCTTCACTTCCTGCTTTGCTGAGCATGAGACTTGCCAGAGGTGAAGCCTCTGTTCTTCTCGGGCCTCTTCTCAGTGTGTGTGCTTCCCTGGGCATGCAAGTGGCTCTCTAAGTTTCCCTGTTTGTGTAATAATAGCTTTTTTTTAAAAAGCCCATATCCCCCCAAACCCCCCAGATTTCACTGGGCTTTTCTGCTAAAGCTCCAGCCTGTCTGTTATTGCCTCAGTTGGGTTTTTTTATTTGCCCCGGGCAGCAGCGCCTTGTCCACTTGGCTTTCGTTGTTTTTGAGGCACGTGAAGCCTCTCCATCCTGATAGAGCCCAAGTTAGGTGGAACAAGGGGCACCACTGCAGCAGGCCTTCCGGGAAACCCCAGTCAGGTCTAAAAGAAGCACAGTTCCTGGGGAAGAAGGTCACTGTGCTCCCTCTGGAACCAGCACCCACTCTGGCACATGGGTCATCTTTAAGATGTGCTGCGAGAGAGGTAGGACCTGAGTAAATTAAAGGCCACAAAGCAAGTCTCCCTGTTTCAGTGGCCTTCCTCCTGGTTCTCTTTGGTTGCTATAAACCTTTTCCACCCTCCAGAGTTCTGATAAGGTTGATGCTTACAGTTTTTTGACAAGATTTTCAGTGTTTCTAGGGAGGGACAGCCCTGGAGGTCCCTACTCCGCCATAAAAGTAAGGACTGAGTAAAGGCCAGTGAGGTGGTGGTGACTGGTGGTTATAGTAGGGTAGTTGGTCAGAGGATTCTGTGCAAGAGCTTAAAGTCAGGGCAGGATACTCATTCACAAATACTGTCAGTTTTAAAATTTGAGACTGTTTCGGCATTATTATTTTGAGAGAGATGTTTTATGTACTTATTTCTACCTTTATTATCACAAACATTAAATTTATATTAGTGTTTGTACTTTATAGGTTATATATTTAATATTTATTTCAGTTAAATACTTATCTTCAGTTTTCAATGTTCTTTTTCCTACAGAAGGTTTGAAGTCTCAAGTTGCCCGCCACAGTCTAAACTATATACAGGAAATTGGAAATGGCTGGTTTGGAAAGGTAAAGTTTGTTCGCTTTCATTTTTTCCCCTCCTACTTATACTGTTTAGAATTTAAAGCTAATTAAGACTTGTGTTACGTGACATTCCACATACTGTCTACACACTGTGGTACCAATTGAATTTCTCCATTGGCCCCTGAAACCATGTGGAAGTGTGAGCGTCAGCATTCCTGGGTGTGTGAGTTTTTCCAAGAAGGTCTTTTATTTCTATATCAGAGACTTTTCTAGTTGTTGGCAGACAACGGTAAGAAGGGAAAAGAGATGGGAATTTTAGAAGCTTTTTGTCCTCCTCAAATTGTTTCTTCTTTCTTCTCCCCCTTCCCTTATGACACTTAAACCACTTTATACTAGATGGGTAGTATGCTTATAATGAAAACCATTGTGAAGAACTGTTGTGTTTCTCATAGCCTGTCAAGTGACCTATAATAACACACTTTGTTGATCTTTTTACCACAGAAGGAATGATCTTTTTTATAACAACTGTTTCTATGATGGAGCAATCATTCTTTGTAAAAGGGTGTAACTGAGTGATCATTGCATCATAAGCAGGGCGGTCACGACCAGATGTATTTGCTCTGTAGTCAACCATCTCATGCTTCTGTCTTTCCGATAAGAGTTGTTTGTCCTGTATCTTTCATGTCGTCCAAACTTTATTAGTTACCGGATCTTCTAAGCCATTTAGCAAAACCTATTATGTGTCAGACGTTGTTCTGGTGCTGGGAGTATGATGTGGAGGAAGATGGTAAAGTCCTGGCCTGTGGAGTCCTGGGAATGTAGCAGCAAACGAGATGGAACCCTTGCCCTGAAAAGCTGAAATTTCTAGTTGGGGCTGGGGGGTGATCAGACAGTAAACAGTCAATGGTAGGAGACAGGCTCAGAGAGGGGTAGGGGAGCCAGGGGACATGAGGTATTTCCTGCATTTAGAGACTTTGACTTTTCCTCAGAGGGGGCTAGGAAGGTGCTCCAGGATCTGGGGATAAGTGACATCACCTGGCTTACAGGTTGAGAGAATCACCATGTTGTAGAGGTCCACGGGGAAGCAGGGAAATTGGTAAGAAGGCTGCTGCAATTGTCTAGGGAGAGTTGCAGGCAGGCTTGGACCTGGATGATAGTAGCATGGAGAGGTCGAGGTTCCAACAGGAGCACACAGGACTTGGGATGGAGCAGATACAGAGTCTGGAGAGGAAAAGAAGTTAAGGATGACAGCTTATGGCCCAATTGGCAAGAAGCGTGGAGTTGCTGTGATCTGAGATGGGAAAGACTAGAGAGAAGCAGACGTGCAGGAGGAAGATGGGTTCACTTTTGGATACATCAGGGCTGAGATGGCTCTCAGATGTGCAAATGGAGATACCACGTAGGCAGCTGGAACTGCAAATTGAGAGTTCAAGACAGATATAAACTTGGGAGCACTCAGTATAGAGGTGGTACTTGAGGCTAGATGAAATCACCGAGAATGCTAACACAGAGGAGAGGGGGAGGCACAAGGACCGAGCCCTGAGGCCCTGCAGCGGGGAGGTCAGCACAGTCAGGGAGACCCTGTGAGGGAGACAGAAGAGTCAGCCAGTGAGTAGGAGAGGGCACAGGAGACAGGAGCATTATTCTGAAGGTCTGAGGAGGAGCTCCAGAAGATGAATTGCAGTAGATGCTACGGACACACTGAGCAACAGGAAGCCTGGGAGAATTAGGACCCAGCAGCATGCAGTCCATGGTATCCTCAAAAGATTCAGTGCTTGTGACCTCAAAAGGGCCATGTCACATCCTCACATGTGGTGGGTTCTAGGGAGAAACTGGAGATAGCACATTTAGACAACTCTGTTGAGGAGTTTTAATCTAAAAGGGAACAGAAATGATGAGCTGTTTGGGCCCATCCAAGGGCCAAGGGAAGGTTTTTTGATTGTTTTTTTTTTTTATAGTATATGCTGCTATTTTAGCATGTTTATATGGGAGGGGGGACTGATACTGTGGGAGGGGGTGTAAGTGTAGAAGGGATCCATAGCATTATTGTAGGACTTGGTCTTAGGCACAGGAACAGTTTCTCTCCTGAAATGGGAGCACAAACAGGATGTGTACACAGGTGCAGGTGGATTTGGTGTTAAAATGAGCAGGTTCACTTCTGATCATTTTATTCAGTAAATAGGAGGCCCGTTTGAAATGCAGGAGTGAAAAGATGTACATGAAGTTTGAACAGGAGGAGAATGTGGGAAAGTATATCAACTGGGGAAATGGGGGGAGTGGTGAGCAGCGCTGAGGACCCTCACAGATTTAAAATGAGACCACTCATCGTGGCTTTTTTCTACTTTTGGTGCTTTTTATTGTAGGCAAGTAGATGGATTTAAGCAGCACTGAGGCTTGGCTGAGCTAATAGACCTCAGTGAGAGGGCACGGGGATGATGGGAGTGAAGGGTCGTGGGCTCTAAGCTGTCAGGGAGGGGAGCGGGGCCTGCAGTCAGGACAGGAGGTTGGAAAAGCGGGATCATTAGTGGATTGGGGGGCAAGTTGTGCGCTTGTTGGATTAGACTGTTGAAGTAAGTGAGCTGGAAATCGAAGGACGGGTAGACAAGAAGTTAAAATTCAAGGTTTTGGGCATAACATAATTACTAGCTAGGTCTAGATCCCTGGGAGTGTTTGCTGAGATGGGCTCGTAGGAAAGATGAGTGGGAGTGAGGTCAGAGAACTGAGCGGTCCCCGTGTTGAGTGAATAGTCCCTGCATACGTTGCCCTCCAAGGATGACAACAGTGCTGGCTACAGAGAGAGAGAGACAGTGAGCCAGATCATTGCACTGGTCCCCCAGTTATTCTCCCCTCTTTGCAAATCGACACCATGGACGTGTTAGGCTTGTCATATCTGTGCAAATTCGTTATTTGAAACAGAGAATATGGCTTAGTGAATTATCAGAGTTTCCTGTTCTATGCATTTCTCTGCCCTTATATTCCTAATATAACATTAAATTCTGTTCAGGTTCTTATTCTCTATTTTCAGGGTATTAAAATTAATCTATTTTATAAAAATATAAAAAACCTATTTTAAAAGGAAGCCTTTTAGTTTTGACCATTCTCAAATTAGATAAAAATCTTTACTTCATCATCATTTTCATCTTAAATATTGTATTTTGGAGTGCCTTTGTATTGTCCTATATTAATACTTAATATATCACTTGTAGCTTGTTCTTATTTTCATTCGCATTTTGTGTTCTGTTAATTTCAGTGGAGTGTTTTTTCCCTGTGTTTTGACTGAAGCTTTAGTACAAGATAAAGGCCTGGAATAACTGGCATGCCATGGATTTTTAAAGCTATAATGCAATGATAGTTTGCACACTGGCTGTTTGTCAGTTTACTTTGTACTATGTGAAGTAGACATAACAAAATAACACAGCTCAGTTGAAGTGTTTTTGAGAAATATTTGGGTTATATTTGAACCAAACTAATAAATTACTCTTCTGTAATGTCATTGGCAATTTCTGTTAAAGTATAAAACATTTTTAAGTAAATAGGAAAGAAGTACATATAAATATATGAATGTTGTAAACATCTGATGACTGTTTTGTTTTAAAACTTAAGGAAAATATTTTAGCTTTCCAAGCTTTAAAATAATAGAAAGCCATCTGACTGTTGCTTAATTTGTTTTCCTGTATTCCATTTCCTGGTAAGTGTAACATAGTTCTTTATCATGTTGATGGAAGTGAAGTGAAAAACTATTCTTTGGTTTTAGGTGCTCCTTGGAGAGATCTACACAGGCACTAGTGTAGTGAGAGTAATAGTGAAGGAGTTAAAAGCAAGTGCGAGCCCAAAGGAACACGATACTTTTTTGAAAAATGGAGAACCATACTAGTAAGTAAACCGTAATGAATGTTTTGTAAACGTGGTCTGTGGTCTGTTGAAAATCAGGGGGATTTCTGCTTGTAAAATAGAAAATTTAAATAAGATCCAGAGTCTCATAGCATAAAACCCAAAATGTCCAGGTTTCAGCTGAAATCACTGATCTTTCCAAGAACCAAGAGAACTCAACTAAGTAAGAAAAGACAACGGATGGTGGGAATGTAATTTGGTGCAGTCACTATGGAAAACAGTATGGAGATTCCTCAAAAAACTAAGCGTAGAGTTGCCAAATGGTCCAGCAATCCCACTCCCAGACAAAACTCTAATTTCAAAGAGACACATGCACCCCTCTGTTCATAGCAGCACTATTCACAATAGCCAAGACATAGAAACAGCCTAAATGTCCATCGACAGAGGAACGGATAAAGAAGATGTGGTACGTTATATGTAATGGAATACTACTCAGCCATAAAAAAGAATGAAATAATGCCATTTGCAGCAACATGGATGAACCTAGAGATTATCAAACTAAGTGAAGTAAGTCAGACAGAGAAAGACAAATATCATATGATATCACTTATATGTAGAAGCTAAAAATATGTAATGTAATGGAATACTACTCAGCCATAAAAAAGAATGAAATAATGCCATTTGCAGCAACATGGATGAACCTAGAGATTATCAAACTAAGTGAAGTAAGTCAGACAGAGAAAGACAAATATCATATGATATCACTTATATGTAGAAGCTAAAATATGACACAAATGAACTTGTTTACAAAACAGAAACAGACTCACAGATATAGAGAATAGGCCTGTGGTTACCAAGTGGGAGGGGGGCCAGGGTAGGGATAGACTGGGAGTTTGGGATTAGCAGATGCACACTGTTATATATAGAATGGATGAACAACAAGGTCCTACTGTTACAGCACAGGGAACTATATTCAATATCCTGTGATAAACCATAATGTAAAAGAATATGAAAAAGAATATATATACATTTACAACTGAATCACTTTGCTGTACAGCACAAATTAGCACTACACTGTAAATCAACTGTACTTCAATAAAATAAACACACACAAAAAATAGAAAAGACAACAGATACCAACACCAGGATGACAGAGATGTTAGGATTATCTGACAAGGATTTTAAAGCAGCTGTTGTAAAAATGCTTCAATGAGCAATAAATGATAATACCCTGGGACTTCCCTGGTGGCATAGTTGTTAAGAATCCGCCTGCCAGTGCAGGGGACACGGGTTTGAGCCCTGGTCTGGGAAGATCCCACGTGCCATGGAGCAACTAAGCCTATGTGCCACAACTACCGAAGCCCACATGCCTAGAGCCTGTGCTCTGCAACAAGAGAAGCCACTGCAGTGAGAAGCCCACGCACTGCAACAAAGAGTAGACCCCGTTCGCCGCAACTAGAGAAAGCCTGTGTGCAGCAATGAAGACCCAACATAGCCAAAAATAAAATAAATAAATAAATTTATATTTAAAAAAATGTATAGTACCCTTGAAACAAATGAAGAAAACAAAGTTTCAGCAAAGACATAGACTACATAAAGAAGACCAAAGTGGACACTTTAGAACTGAAAAATGTAATAAAGTAAAAACTCAGTGGATGAGTTCAATAGCAGAATGGAGAGGACAAAGGAAAAAAATCAGTGAAGTTGAAGATAAAACAATAAATATCACCCAGTTCAAACAACAAAAAGAAAATATGCTTAAAAAAATGAAAAGTGCCTCAGGGACTTGGGGGACTTGAACAAAAGATCAAGACATCCCAGATTGAAAGGAGATAGAAAGTGGATAGAAAAAGTATTTGAAGAAATATTAACTGGAAAATGTTCCACATTTTGAAAAGACAGACCTACAGATTCATAAGTTGATCAAATCTCAAACAGGATAAACCCAAAGAAATTCATGCCAACACACATCATACTCAAACTTCTGAAAATGAAAGACAAAAAAATCTCAAAAGCCGGGAGAAAGAAACACCACCTCACCTGTAGGGGGGTTACATTGAAAAGAGGACAAGTCTCAAATCAATAACCTAAGCTCATACTTTAAAGGACCAAAAAAAAGAGGAGCAAGATGAACTCAAAGCAAACAGAAGGAATAGATATTAAAGATAAGAGCAGAGGTCGATAAAATTGAAAACAGTAGATAAAAATCATTGAAACATAAAGTTGGCTCTTTGGAAAGATAATAAAATTGACAAACCTCTAACAAGACTGACAGAGAATAAAAGAGAAGACACAGATTCCTAATATCAGGAATGAAAGAGACCCTACAGACATCAAAAGGATAATAAGGGACAAACAGCTCTACGTATATATATATTTGACAACTTAGATGAAATGAACCAATTACTCAAAAAGCACAAACCACCACGACTCACCCAATATGAAATAACGTTATTTGAATAGACCTATAATCATTGAAGAAATGGAGTTTGCTACTTAAAAACTCTCACAAAGAGTCCCCAGGCTTAGACAGTTTGACCAGAGCATTCTACAAAACGACTAAAGATGAATTAATGCCACTTCTACCCAATATTTTCTAGAAAATAGAAGAGGAGGGAACACTTCCTAACTCATTTTATGAAGCCAGTATTACCCCGATCCCAAAACCTGACAAAGTGCAAAAAGGAAAACTGTAGACCAATATCTGTCATCGATGTTGATGCAGAAATTCTAACCAAAATATTAGCAAATATATAAAAAGTTATATATCATTACCAATTGGAATTTATTCCAGGAATGCTAGTCTGATTCAGTATTTGAAAATCAATCAGTGTAATCCACCATAATTACTGGGTAAAGAAGAAACATCACGTGATCCTGTCAGTTGATGAAGAAAAACATTTGACAAAACTCCACACTAATTCATGATAAAAACTCTTTGAAAACTAGAATTAGATGAGAATCTCCACTTATTAAAGAACATCTACAAAAAAATCTACATCTAGCATCATACTTAATGGTGAAAGACTGAATGCTTTTTAATCCCTAAGATCAAGAAAGACGTAGATGTTCGCTCTCATCCCTGCTATTCAGTAAGAGCCAGAAGTTCTAACTAGCTCAATAAGGCAAGAAGAGGAAACATTCAGAAGCCTGTATGTAGATCAGAAAGAAAGACCTAAGTGTCTGTGTTTATATGCAGAAAATCCCAAGTAATCTCCAAAAAAAAAAAATCCCTTAGAACTAGTAAGAGAATTCAGCAAGGTTGTAGGATGCCTGGTCAACATACAAAAGTCAGTTTTATTTCTGTGTACTATCAATGAACATGTGGAAACCAACTTTTAAATAAAATAACTTTTTTTTTTTTTTTTTTTTTTGCGGTACGTGGGCCTCTCACTGTTGTGGCCTCTCCCGTTGCGGAGCACAGGCTCCCGATGCGCAGGCTCAGCGGCCATGGCTGACGGGCCCAGCCCTGTGCCTGTGGCATGTGGGATCTTCCCGGACCAGGACACGAACCCGTGTCCCCTGCATTGGCAGGCGGACTCTCAACCACTGCGCCACCAGGGAAGCCCTAAAATAACTTTTATATTCACTCAAAAACAAAAAAGAAATACTTAAGTACACGTACAGGACTTGTATGCTGAAAACTATAGAAACTGATGAAAGAAATCAAGGTCTAAATAAACAAAGAGACATACCATATTCATGGGTTGGAAGATTTGTGAAGATGTCCATTCTTCCCAGTCAGATTCCTGCAATTCCTATCAAAATCCCAGCAAGATTTAAAAAACCTATATACAAGATTATTCTAAAATTATATATAAAGGCAAAAGTAGGATAGCTGAAACAATTATGAAAAATAAGAATAAAAATTGGAAGAATCATTTGACCCAATTTCAAGACCTTATATAGCTACATAATTAGGACTGTGTTTTTGGCAGAGAGATAGACAAAACTCAACAGTAAAAAAACAAAAATAAGCAAAAGACATCAAGTGACACCAAAGAGGATCTATGGATAGCAATGAAAAGATCAACATCATTAACTAGGGTAATTACGATCATGATGAGAGACCACTTCACAAGTATTAGGAAAGCTAAAATAAAATAGCAACAATACCAGATGCTGGTGAGGATGTGGAGAAACTGGATCTCTCACACATTGCTGGTGGGAATGTAAAATGGTACAGCCACTTTGGAAAACAGTTTGACAGTTTGTTAAAAAACGAAACATAACGCTTACCACTGTATTAGTCAACGTTCTCCAGAGAAACAGAGCCTGTAGAATCTGTAGATAGATAGATAGATGGATGGATGGATGGATGGATGGATGGAAAGTTGGATAGATGGATAGATGGATGGATGGATAGATAGATACATAGATGAATGGATAGAGGGATGGATGGATGAATAGAGAGGTAGGGAGAGGGATGGATGGATGGATGGAGAGATAGATGGATGGATGGATGGATAACGAGAGAGAGAGAGATGGATAGATAGGTAATTTATTTTAGGGAAATGGCTCATGCAGTTATGGAGACTGGCAAGTCTGCAGGGTGGACCAGCAGGCTGGAGACCCAGAGCAGAGCCACTGTTCAGTTCATGTCCAAAGGCCATCTGCTGGCAGAATTCCTTCTTCACTGGGTGAGGCTAGTCTTTGTTCTTTGGACAAAGCCCACCCACATTTTGGAGCACCGTCTGCTCTTACTGAAAGTCCACTGATTTAAATGATGATCTCATCCAAAAACACCCTCACAGAAGTGTCCAGAATAATGTTTGACCAAATATCTGCACTGTGGCTCAGCCAAATTGACAGAAAATTAACCATCACATCTTGTAACCCAGCTGTTGCACTCTTAGCATTTATCGCATAGAAATGAAAACTTATTTCCATACAAAATCCCTTGTGTGATTATTTATAGTGGCTTTATTTATAGTAGCCTCAAACTGGAAAAACTAAAATGCCCTCTATAGGTGATCGGTTAAACAAACTGTGGTCCATCCAGCCATGGAATCCTGCTCAGCAGTAGAAGGGAAGGGACTGCTGATGCAGGCAGTGACTCGGGTAATCTGGAAGGCATTGTGTTGAGTGAAAAAAATCAATCTCAGAAGCCCACATACTGTGTGATTTGACTTACATAGTATTCTCAAAATGAGAACATTATAGAAAAGGAGACCAGATTCGTGGTTGCCAGGGCTGAGGAATGGTTGGGGGCGGCGGCAGTGTGACTATAAAGGGGGTAGCAGAAAGGGGTAGCGTGGGAGATCTTCGTGGTGGGGGGCAGTTCTGCATTTCTGTTGAGTGGTGGTTGCACAATTCCACACATGTTGATAACAGGACTTGCAAGCCACACACACACCGCACCCTAGTGTCAGGGCCCTAGTTTGGGGATTGCACTGATTGTGTCAGGTGTCACCAGTGGGAAAAACTGGGTGAAGGGGACATGGGACCTCTTTGTACTATCTTTGCAACTTACTCTTAATTCATTATTGCTTCAAAATAAAATTTTGAAGTTTAAAAAACCATTTTGGCATATCTTTTTTTTTTAAACTTTGTTTTAGACAAAATGTTTTCCAAAAAGAGTTTGTGTACTGTGATTTATGAAAATAGTGTATAAGCTAGATAGCCTAAGAGGTAACTGAGTATTTTATTACGTGGATTGAAATGCTCGTGGAATATAGTTTGCCTTCTTTTAAACGATGCTTCAAAATGATATCTATAAAGTTAAATTACTAAAGTTAAAGATTCTTATGTTAGGAGATGTTTTAATTTGTGAAAATATTCGCCTGATTGGCTTTGAATTACTTAATCATTACATAACTTAGAATACATCTGTTAAATAGAACCTTAATTGTGCTCTTTTCAGTTGATCATATTTAAATCGTTAAGAATGTTAAATTCGCAGTTACTGTTTGAACAGTTTTACTAGCCTGCTCCCTCATGAACAATACTATGACTTTTATTTTTACCAGTATTCTTCAACATCCAAATATTCTTCAGTGTGTTGGACAGTGTGTAGAAGCAATCCCCTATCTTCTGGTGTTTGAGTTCTGTGACTTGGTAAGTTTTCAGTAGAAATTCAAAGTCAAGTATTCAGAAGTTTTTACCAGAGCGTTTTTGACAGATAGAAATGCTGGATGAGGGACTGCTTTCACTTCTGTCCCAGCTAGTTAATTCCAAAGAAAAATTATTAATAAACTTGATATATTAGCTTTCAGTGAGTTATATTATAGTAACCCCCCCAAATCTCAGTGGCTGATAAGAGCAAAATGATTCTCATTGGCTCTGGGTCAGCTTCAGCTCTGTTCCAGGCTACGTTCACCTCTACCCCAGGGTCAGTGTTTTATTCTATCTGTAGATGCTGCGGAGAAGAATGTGTATTCTGGTGATCTGTACAGTATGTCTGTATGGATCTTTTGGGTCAAGTTTATGAGGCTGTTCAAATCTCCTGTATCCTTCTGATTTGTGGGGAGGGGGCAGGGACAGAGGGAGCCTGGGTCAGTTTTCTAGCAGTTATTGAGAGGCATGTTAAAATTTCCTGCTCTGATTATGGATTTTCCTTATTTTTCCTTATAGTTCTAGTTGTTTTGCTTTGTACATTTTGATACCCTGCTGTGTAAGAGATCCAAATTTAGAGTTGATATAACTTCCCTTAATTTGAAACTTTTATCATTATGAATGCAATCTCTTTAAGATTAAAAGCATTACAGAGGATTAAGTCTGTTTTTATTGATGTTAATTTAGTTAGGCCAGCTTTCTTTTGGTTAGAATTTGCCTGGTTTATCTCTGTCAATCCTCTTCTCTGGTTGACATCTCTTGTAAATAGCTTACGGTTAGAATTTTATTAACCTGTCAGTCTCTGTCACTTAACATGGAACAGGTCATCCATTTATGTTTATTGTACCTACGAGATATTTGGAATGTTATGTGCCTGTTGTGTATTATTTTTCTTACCTGTTTCAACTTTTCTTTTTTGCTTTTTTTCTAGCCTTCTTTTAGATTCTTGAATTTTTTTGTTTGTTTCAGTTTTCCCCATCTACTATTTTAGATACTGTTTCTTAATTTTGTGTGTGGTTACACTAGAAGTTACAACATGCATATTTAGTGTAACAAGGTCTAAAATTAATCAGTATTTTAACCCTTCTCCAGAGATGCTGGGACCTCATAAAGCTCTCTCTCCATGTAAAGAAACCAGAGTTAATCCTACTTTTCTGTGCCCTCCCCACGTTTCCCCCATCTTGGAGGGTGCTTCCTGATTGAACACTTGGTGTAGAAAGGCAGCATGCTGTTCTCAAGGGACCCAGAGAGAAAACTGGCCATTGTCCTCTAGGCCTCCTACTTAGATGGAGCAGACACGTGATAATTGCCATTTAGCCTGATTATTTAATGGAGGCAGGAGAACGAAGAGGAAGGAGTTCACAAGGATGTTTCTCATAGTTTTATTGCGTAGCTGGTTTTGATTATCTCAGAATTATCAGAGCTATGGTATGTATGATCCTTACTTATCATAATATGAAAATAATTCCTTTTAGTCTAGCTCTTGGTGACCAGTATGATAGGTGACACAGCAGGTGAAGAAAGAAGACCAAAGATGCATTTTTATGTGATGAGACAAGTCTGCTTATCAGAGTTCTGCTTTTCTGAGACATTTAATGGTATCTCTTTTGGGTCCCTAAGCTCCTGATGCTGATTATAAATAACAGCGGGAACATTCTTCATGAGTGACTGTAACAGAAATAACAGCAGCAATCACCATCTTCTTGAAGTCGCATGTTTCCAGGCTAATCGAGGTGGTTTATAAAACTAGCTCATGTACTTTGGCATTTTCTTATTCTTTACCCTGTTTGTCCATTCCTGAAAGTTTTACTAGACAATGTTGTTGTTTTTCCTGGAATAGTAAAAGCTTAATGTTTTCTTCTAAGTGGGTTCAGGTAATGGGTTTAGTTTTAGTGCTGTTCTAATTTGTTTTTGCTTTTGTTTTTTTTTAAATTTTATTTATTTATTTTTGGCTACACTGGGTCTTCGATGCTGCGCGCGGGCTTTCTCTAGTTGTGGCGAGCGGGGCACACTCTTCATTGCGGTGCATGGGCTTCTCATTGCAGTGGCTGCTCTTTGTTGTGGAGCACAGGCTTAGTTGCTCCTCCGCATGTGGGATCTTCCCGGACCAGGGCAGGAACCTGAGTCCCCCACATTGGCAGGCGGATTCTTAACCACTGTGCCACCAGGGAAGTCCCCAACATTCTATTTATAGAATTTTTCCCTCGTACTTTTCTATCTCAGATTTAAATGCATATTCTCCAAATACTGACACTAGACTAAGTATTCAGAACATACATATTTACTTACCTACATTTCTGTTGGCTTTCATATTTTGCGATGAAGATTATGGATACAGCCCTCCAGAATTAGGAAATGTGACTTCTTGAAACACATTTTATGTGACTCTCCTAAGTCATGTTCACTCTCCTCAGTCACTCCTGAAGGCTGAACATCTGGAAAGAGCCCATCCCCACCCAAAGCTTTCACTGGCAGTGCAGAGCTAATAGCTGTTTTTATTTAAGTGCACTGCCCAAGGGTACATTGATCAATAGTAAAATGAAAAAACAATAATTTTTCTCCCTGAAATTAAAATAGAATTTCCACATGATCTGGCAATTTCACTTCTAGGTACATACATCCAAACAGTTGAGAGCAGGGTCTCATTTTCATGCCCGTGTTCACAGCAGCATTATTCACAGTAGCCACGAGGCAGAAGCAGCCCAGGTGTCCATCAGTGGTTGAACAAATAAAATTGGGTCTATCCATACACTGGAGTATTATTCAGCCTTAAAAAGGAAGGAAATTCTGACACATGCTGCAGTATGGAAGAACCTTGAGGTCATTATGCTCAGTGAAAGAAGCTAAGTCACAAAAACACAGATACTGTAGGATTCCACTTATATGAGGTCCCTGGAGTGGTCAGACTCATGGAGACAGAAGGTAGAAGGGTGGGTGCCAGGGGCTAGTGGGTGGAGGGGATGGGGGAATTAGTGTTTAATGGGGACAGACTTTCAGTTTCGGAAGATGAAGAGAGTTCTGTGGATAGATGGTGGTGATGGCTGCACAACAGTGTGAATGTACTTAATGCCACTGAACTGTACACTTAGAAACACTTAAGGGTGGTAATTTTATGTTACATGGTTTTTACCACACAAAAAACATTGGTAATTACCTACTATTATGGAAGGGGCTGTACCGCTATTAACTATACTTGGAGGAGGCTGATATGCCCTTGGGAAATCTGTCAGTCAGCACTTGGAATGTCCAGCCTCATATCAAGGTAAAGGCCGTTAACCCAGGGAGCCCCCAACCTTGCCAGGCAGTGATGTCACATTTATCTCCGAGGGCAGTTTCGTTCTCATCATCTCTGGACCCTAGTAAGTTGCAGAGGGACCAGCTCCTGAGCAGCAAGGGCTGGGCCTCAACCGGGGGCACTGGCCCTGCAGTTAGGTCCTCGGGGCTCAGTGTGTGCAGAGACCAGGTAGCAGAAACGGTCAGCTCGTGTCAGGCCCGTGAGCCATAGAGGTGCCTTCCTACCTCGACTGCAGGGACGTTCCCAGCACGCCCCAAAGCCTGGCTTCACCTGAGCCCTGCTCCCAGCCTGGATGCCCCAGAACCCTCCCAGAAAGAGGCCAGATTGAGCAGAGGGGTGTCATTCAGGGCAAAAGCACCTTCTGGCCAGGGTCCAGAGGCCAGAAGCCTGTAGCCCAGGGTTGGTAATCAGCAGCTTCAGCCACAGTGAAAGGAGCCACTATCTTCACATGTTCTTAGTAGGTCAGGAGCTATTGAGTGAATGTTGGCCTTTTCCGTTGTCACCAGGCAGTGACCATGCACAGCGATAACATCTTTTAAGGAGAAAGGAGAGAATATTTTCACACTTACTTAACTCATTCCTTGTGAGATGGAATTACCAGTCTCTGAAAAGCACTTTATCTTAGAATTTTTATGAAAGAAAATGAAAACTCTTCTGAGTATGGTAGCTGGACCAGAGTCACTGATGTGTACTGCTGATGGTGCAGTGTTCGTGAGGGGAGAGATCACTGCAGGGTGTTGTGTGTAACTTGTGGCCATAGGAGGTACACTGTGCTCTCACATGTCTATGTGGGCAAGATTGTTTGAGGGTAAGGGTCACTCAACAGAAATGTATGAGCACCTGTTGAGTACAAAGAGCTGTGCCCAGTGCTCTCAGGAGCACGGGTGAGTCACCCTGACCCTGCCTTTTCTGCCTGTAGAGCCAAGCGGGCCTGCCTTCAGATGCTGGTCCTGCCACTTGTGTATCACCCTGGAGAGTTACCTGACCTCTTTAAGCCTCAGTGTAGACATCTGTAAAATGGGAGTGATACTGCCCACCCTGTAGGCATAGTAGGTGCTCAGGAAGTTGTCGTTATTTTTATTCATTTTTAGTTTCTTAATTGATCATAATTTAAAGGTTTGAGTAGTTCTGTGTAGCAATTCTAACTAGGCTCACTGGCTCCTTTGGGAAGGCTTCACAAAGGAAGTGGTGTTTGGTCTGAGTGTGGACAGGTGGGTGGATGGACTTTCCTCTGCAGGAAAGGGTCATGGGAACAGTGTGAGCCAGGCAGGGTAGCTCAACTGTGCGTGTGGACCAGCGTGGGGGGTGGGGCGATAGATGGTCCCACAGTGGGTGGCGTGGGGACCGGGTGAGAGAGCACTGCGTTAAGAGAGGCTGGTTGGCATCCGCTGGGAAAGATCAGCTGGAAAGGTGACAAGCCGAGACCAACTACTTGGAGGCCAGACTGCAGGCCCAGGTAAAGACGAGGAGGCAGATCACCTCCACCCCGTCTTACCTCCCATGACAGTCAGCAGTTTCTTCCTCTGTCACCGGACTCCGAAGCAAGAGATGATAGCCTTTTCTTTGCAAGGGAGCGATCTTGGTGTCGTGTGCAGATTTCCACAGTCCTCTGCGGGCTGGGCTTGCTTCAGCCACTCAGGAGAGGCAGGGAGCCAGGGTCCCGGGCTCCCAAGGCTGTGGGAAGCTTGGCCGCTGCCCACACAGGGCT